CTTATAATGAGGTACTAAAATTGGCTTACCCTCTATTTAAGGAACACTCATCATAAGAGACCAACCATCTAAGGTACGCCCATCATAAGAGATGAGCGTACCTCTATTACCCTCTATTTAAGATATGCTCATTATAAGAGACTGTAAGAGACGATAACCTATATTCAAGGTACACTCATTATTAGCGACTTTTCCCGCTTTAAGGGTGTTTCTTATAATGAGGCTGACTATAATTAATTAATTAAAATTTAACTGAAAATAATCACGTCCTTCAAAATCTAATAAATTATAAGGAGAATCGCCACCATTTACTGCGAATAAATCACAAATTTTCCATCGATGATCATAAGTTAAAGAACGGCAAATCCACTCAGATGAATGGTTCTTTTTAATGATTTATTAAAATTAATTTATAAAGCACTAATGAAGATAAAAAGTCCGCAACATTTTTGCGGACTAAATTTTTGCGGAACTTTTTTGCGGACTTTTTTAAAAGTGTTTTTTATCTTCAACAGTGCTGCTCAAATATATCCAATTTTAATTACTTGAAAGTGTTTGCTACATCTTTCTAAACATTCATCACAACTAACACCACTGGACCGATCGAACATTACGGCATTAGCAGCAGCTGATTGAGCTTGCATTTGCCATTGTGTTGGGTCTTAATAATTAACTTATAAATATTATTAACTTATAGGTCTTAATAATTAGATACTTAAGGATCTAAATTTTAATACAGTCAGACTTCTCTATAAAATACACATTTAATTAAAAATCAGGTGATATTTAGTAGGCTTAACTTTTTGTAGGATGATCCGATCAAATCAATCTTGCTAGCAGTAATGATGCTCATATCCAGAGCTTTCGATTGGTATAACATTTATGTAAATCGGTTAAGAATCAAATAAGTTATGGCCTTAAAAGGTGTATCCTATAGTGAAGACTGACTGTACATATTTAATTCCCCCTACCAAAGCTGCATCTTCCTTCACTTCTAACATCTCTTCTGACAGGTGGAGGTACAGGTCTATAACTGACTGAATTGCTATTTCCACTTCCTGTGCCAATAATCGCCCCATCATTTCCCACATTATTTGTAGAATCTTCCTTCAACTCAGAAGAGAATAAAGGAACCCTTGGGGGCGCTAAAGGCGGCAAGGGAATTTTCTTGCCAGAATGTAGCTTTGAGGAATTATTCTCCAGTAGTGAGTCGTTTAATGATGTCAAGTCATTATTTTGACCTCCATAACCAGAATAACCGTTGCCTTGTACAAAGGGGAATAAAAAATAAATTAAAGGGAAGAATAAAAATTTGTTTAAATTAAGGGAAGATTTTTTAAATATTATCATCTAAAAAATAAATTAACTAATATTTAGGTAGAAAATCAACAAGAGGTATACTTCAAGATTTAATCGAATAATCTTTAAATTCTGAAAAAAGTATCTTCTAGTACCGAACACTAATTAAAAGATTATTATAAAGTCTAGCCTCTTTTTAGATACTCCATGAGGATAGAAATAGTTTCTTATAATGAGCTGTACCTTAAATAGAGAGTTTCTTCAAGGCTGCAGGGGTCGATCGAAAATGACGAAGGTGTCAGAAATCGGGACTGTCGGAAACCGGAAATGGCTTAAAAGTCGGAACTAGGAAATCGAAAATCGGAACTCAGCCTAAATTTTCGGAAATTGGAAGTCGGAATTCCGATCGACCCCTGCTAGACGGCTGCCAAATTCCCTGGATGACTAGATTTAAAAATGTATCTTAATAGGGATATATCTCGTTTTTCACCTTCAATTTAAAATACACCTCGTTATAAAGTACAATTTTGTCCGTCTTAAGCAGAGGTGGGTTCGGAATCCCTATTTCTGGCTCTCCGATTTCTAACACCTCTGACTATTCTGACCCACCTCTGGTCCTATGGGTTATCCTATAACGAGCTTGACTGCATTAATTTCAAATAAATTTAATAATTCAGTTGAGTATTTTCTCTTTTTTTTCACACTAAAAGAATTAGTAGATTTTTGAATTATTCCATTTTCAAATAAAAAATACTTTCGCTCTTTCCGTGTAAAAAAAAGGGAGAGTGTGCTTTTGTTTTCACTAAAAAATTTATTTAATCTAAAAAATAATAAAAAGATTTTTATTAAAGATTAAATAAAAAAATAATTTTTTTAATTAATTAATGGAAATAATTTAAAAAATAATTCTCTTCTGTAAATAAAAATTTATTTGGTTTCAAAAATCCGAGAATTTGGAAGCATTCTTTCTGTAGCATTCTTTTTGCGCCGGAAATTTCCGTGTCTCAAAAAAAAAAACCATAAAAAATTTATGGGAGGTGGGAGTCAGGGGTGAGCGCAAGAGGCAATCGTGAAAAACGAAGAACGTGGCGCAAGGCCAAAATCAACGCAAAAAAGCAATTTACCCCTTGTGGAGGTATTTAAAACGAGGTTCATTTTAATTAGAAAATATTACTAATAATTCTCGATTACTAATATTTACTCGATTAATTCCCCTGGAGAATTATTTTTTCAACCCATCCGTAGCATAGAGAATTATTCAAGGGAGGGGAAAGTGTAGTAGGGTATTTGGGGGAAGGGGATTATTGTTTCAACCCATCCTTAGCAGTGGAAATTATTTGAGGGAGGGGAATTATTCGAGTAAATGCGGTAATTCAAAGAAAAATTCAAAAACATCAATTTCACTTCCGGATATTTAATTAAATAATTTTTAACTAATAAACTAATTAAAAAATAATCCATAAAAGGAAAAAGAAAGCAAAAATAAATTAGCTTTAACAAGCTTTATTATTTTCTTTAAAGTTCTCCTTTCCTTTTTTAATTAAATAAATAACTCGTTATTTACGAGAAATGGAATAAAAACAAAAAATAAAATTAGTAAAAACATCAATTTAATTTTTCTAAGCTCACGCTGTTGAGAAAATAAAAAGCATATCAACCCCTTCCTTCCATTACCCTTTCCCTTCTCTATTCGATTCATTAAATCCTGACTTTTAGCTATTCTTTTTACTTTTCCTTTTTTAATTAGAGTTGTTGTTCTTTTATTGTTTTTTTTTGGAAGATTATGGAGTCTTTTTTAAATAAATATTTATTTAAATATTTAAAAACCTCCATCTGTGGATGCCCAACTAAATATTAAATTGGGAAGGAGTGGACTAAATTAGAGGACAGATCGTAGTTTAGGAAGAGAGGTATCTTATATAAGGTGTAATCTAAATAGAGGGTATCGCTTAGGCAGCTCCTCAATAGGTTATCGGATAGTTGGAAATCTTCGAATATCCGAATCCGGATCCGATATCCGAACTGAAAATTCCCAGATATCTGGATCCTACAACCTTACTCACCAACCCATTGCCAACCAAAAATCAAAAAATTCTCTCTTAAATAGAGGTGTATCTATTATATAGAATTCTAAAAAGTGAATAGATAAAAGAACTTTCCAATCAAGCTTCTTTAATTGTTAAAAAATACAGGAAATCAAAAGGATATTCATCAAATTTCCTGCTTTTTGGTTGATCAGACTGCCACACACACAAACTTTTGTTATTCACGCAAAAACGAGAATTAAAGAAAAAAGAATTGTAAAAATAGCAACAAATATTTTAAAAAAAAAAATAATAAAATAAAATAAATTATTTATTTACCTATGTAATTCAAAAAAATAAATTTAAAAAATTAAAATGAAAATAAAAAAAATTTATTTTTTTTTAAATTTGGAAAAAAATTTTTTGTTCAAGCTGATAAAGGAGAGTTAGATTTAACTTGGTTTATCAAGTAAAAGGCCGAAACCATTTCAGAATCCATCTCCGATGCAAGCTTGTTAAACAATCTAGTAAAGCAGCTGGGCTATAGCTATTCTCTCTTCTTCAGCTAGTGCAAAAGTTTATTCGGCGGCTTCAGTAGACCGGACTGATCTGTTACACGACGCCGCCTACTGCACAGCCTTAGGAATTAAATAGTTATATGCTTTACAATCTCGATTATCCCTATTAAGGTTGGCTCAGTAATTTTGAAAAAAAAAACTTAAGGCGCATAATTGGTATCCGGTCAACTAGTATATAGTATACCTACAAATATATCCGGATACGGATAGCAAAATTCGTATCCATGACCAGGTCTGGTTTTTTTTGGTTCTTATTAAAATTATAGAGAATGCCTCATATTTAATAATGAATCTCCCATGGGAAAAAACTTTTTAATTTTCTTATAGACTACCCCATAACACCTCAAAACCTTTTTTACCCTTCTATAAATTGTCAGCAACTTTATTTCCAAAAATTCGTCTCATTCAATTTCCCTGAAAAATTCTCTTTTTTAATCGTTAAAATTCCTCTAATTTCCTTCTTTTTTCAATTTTTGCTTTTCTCGTTTCTTCCCTCAACTGGCAGAAAACGTTGGAAAGAGCAAAAAGAATTTAAATAGATGCATGAAATTTACAAAAAAAATTTTTCTTTGGCCCTTTCTAACAAAATAAAAAAAAGAGTAGAGAGTGACAAAGTCAATTTGTCAACGGGAAAAGAGGGAAGACTTTTTTTCTACTTCCTGAAAAGCTAAAGCAAAAGTGATATGGAAATTTTAGGCTTTGAGCGCTTCAATTTTTTTGTTTGTTTGTTTGTTGTCCATATGTAGTGATTATTTAATTATTAAACAAAAATAATTTTTTTAATAAGCCCTCTTTATAATATACCCTCAATATTAGATACAACTCATTTTATAATACGTTTATTTTAAAATTTGGTTATCCATTGGATAGACGTCTTCTGAAAGTACCCCGGTATACACACCGATATACATCCCATTATAAAAGACAAATTCCCAGGCCTAAGGGGTATTCGAGGGGTATGTCTTACCTTGCTATAAGTGTAAGGCTGATTCACTCAATTCACTCAATTCACCTAATTAAAGATAATTCACCTTTAAAACGCTTATTTGTTAGGACTAAACGATCTAAAGGAGGGACATAAGAGAAATCATTAGTCAATGCCCCAGTAGCTCAATGGTAGTTCCTATGAGCGGTCAGCTAAAGCGCCTAGCAATAACTACGAAGAGGTCGCAGGTTCGAATCCTGCTTGGTGGCTAAACTTCTGCTAAACTCTTTCTTAAGAGAACGCTCTCTTAAAACTGAAAAATTGTATCATATAAGTATTTAAATAGAGGGTAAGAGAGTAAATTGAGGTTTAACCTCTGTTTAAGAAACACCCCATTATAAAAGACAAATTCCCAGCCCTAGGGGGTATTCAAGGGGTATGTTTTACCAACTTAATAGAAATAAAAATAATTAAATAAAATGCTAACTTTTTTTACCAAAAGATTTTTAAAATTTTTTAAATATTTTATTTTATGTATCATCTAAATGCGTCACTTTTATTTTTTACTTTTAGCGAGTAAAAATATTTTTATTTATTTTTTAGCTACATCCTTTTAAATTAATTTATAATTAATTATTTTTTTATTTTTATATTTTTGAAACATTTTTGGCTAAATTTTGTAAATCTTTTTTTTAATTAACTCAATTACCCTAATAATATTTATTACGATATTACCGTACTAAAATATTAAAATTTAATTGGGCAAAGTAAAAAATGGCAAAATGTCTTTTTACATTTTGACATTTAATTGGGAATATAAATGTTAAAATGTATAATTGTTGAAATGTCGATTTAGTCTTCGTTTTTAGACTTTTTAGAAGCAAAAATCATCTTTAGACTTTCTATTTTTGACTTTACGATTATTCTTTTTACAAGGCAGAATAGACCATTGAAGTTATACAGCACCCCTAAAAGAGGTGTAGTGGGAAAATTGGTAGATTTCTAGTATATAATGGACGAAGGTTCGATTCCAACTTTGTGCAAATCATTTTATTTGAAGTTTAGTTGCTTGTTAATCTTTTGTATTCTTTCTAAAACTGCCTAGAATTTTTATTTATATTTTTTTCTAATCATTTTTTAAAGGATTTTAATAAAAAATTTAATAAATAAATGTCTGCAATACGTAAAAAGTTGGTAATTGTTGGTGATGGAGCTTGCGGAAAGACTTGTCTTTTGATTGTATTTAGCAAAGACCAGTTTCCAGATGTTTATGTATATTTTTAATTTTTAAATTCTAATTATTTTTAAATATTTAAGGTCCCGACTGTCTTCGAGAATTATGTTGCCGACATTGAAGTGGACGGGAAACAGGTTTCTAGTTTTTTTTGAATAAAAATAAGTAGGCCCTATTTAAAAAGAAGGGCGCAATCGTTTTTCATTACTTGTAAGGAAAGGAACAATGGAAAGAAAAAATGAAACGAATGGACACGGACAAACAATACACGGATGGACACGGAGTCCGTTTTTTATCTGTCCGACTCCGTCCGACTCCATTTTCATTTCCATTTTTTCTCTCCATTTTCCTTTTCTTGCAGGTAATGAAAAAAAAACGATTGCGCTTTTCTTTTGGGATAGGGTCAATAAGTTTGAGGTTTCAGTTCCTCCTTCTTCATTTGGATCTCGTATGGGTTCAAGTAGCTTGGTTACACCCCTAGCCTTTTACCGTCTCTATAGTTTGTTATACGTCAATTTTTAGTAACCCAAAGATCAGACCAAAAATGTGCTAACAAGCTAACCGATGGTACCATCTCATTTTTTACCTTGTACTTCGTACCACCCCTAATTTTGGCCTCGTTCGTCGTACCAGCCTATTTTTTGTCGTATTGTATTTCTTGCCAAAGTACGAATTTTGGTACGAGCTTATAAACACTGGTCCCAATTCCTAGGGTCTTTGACGCGAATATAAAGCCACTTAGATCAACTTCCAGTTCAACTATAGGTTCCTCAATCCCCAGTTTTCGTGGTTTCAAAACGCAAACTATTAACGAACTAAAAAGGTAGCCCCCCCCCTCTCCGCCTTTTTCATAAAAATTGAGCTCTAAATTTCCAGGTTGAGTTAGCTTTATGGGATACAGCTGGCCAAGAAGACTATGACCGCCTTCGACCACTCAGTTATCCAGACACCGATGTTATTCTTATGTGCTTCAGTATTGACTCTCCGGATTCTCTTGACAACATTCCAGAGAAGTGGACACCCGAGGTTTTAATTTGAATAAAATTTTGGGTATGCCTTATCTCTCCTCATTTTTTAAATTTTCTTTTGTTTCCTTCTCTTCTGAAAATTTCTAATCCTTTATTGGATTTTGTTGTGTCGGGTTGATCTGACAACAATTCTTTCAGAAAATTCCTTATTTAAGATGTTGCAAATGTGATTTTTACCTGTCTAATATAAAAAATAACCGATTAAGTCATTATTTCGGAAACCAAATTTCTGCTACCTTTTAGGATAAATCCCTTTCCCTCTTTCAAAGTCTTGACTTTATATTAATTTAGTCTCTGTTCATTATGCGCCATTGTTCATTGATAGAAATAACATAAAAGAAAATTAAGAAAATGATTGAAGATAATTCCTAGAGATCGGAGCTTTAAAAACCTTGATTCTTGATTTTGATTGAGTACTCTTACCATGTTCCTGCCCTTCACTCAAAAAAGAATCAAGGTCAAGGGAAAATCCATAAACACTGAAAAATGCCTCGTTCTTGACTCTGGGTTCAAGAAAGATCGAGGTTTGGATTCAAAGCTAGGCCGATCTCTAGTAATGCCATTCTAGCCATACTAGTACTCATTTTAGTTTTTCCTTTCAAATTTTTGATTTTCAGGTCCGTCATTTTTGTCCAAATGTGAGTTTTCTGTAAATGATTGTTTGATTTTTTAAATATTTTTATGGAAAAAATTAATTTAGGTGCCTATCATTTTGGTTGGCAATAAAAAGGATTTGCGTAATGACCCGCAAACAATTCGCGATCTTTCACGGAACAAACAAGATCCTATCAAGACAGACCAGGGAAAAGCTGTTGCCGAGCAGATTGGTTAATTTTTTGATTTTTGGTTCGAAATGATTTTAAAATTTCTATTTAAGGAGCTTATGCATATCTTGAATGCAGTGCGAAGACGAAAGAGGTTTTTTTGTATTTTTTATATTTTGGGGAACAGTTGGGGGGATTTGCCTTTCTACGGCGTTATTATTGTATTTACAAGGGGGCTGACTTTGACCTTAAGTAGTACCTACCTCCTGGCTCCGGGCTTGAAAATAATCTAGCTATGTCAGTAGTTTATCTACTGTCATTCTCTATTCAATGGAACCAAAAAAGATAAAAAGCCATGGTCTCTATGTTAACCTTGAGAAGATTACTTGTCTAGTCTCTAACTAGGTCTGTGTTTATCTCAAGGGCTAGAATCCTTTTGCAAGTAGTACAAGAAAACAAAGGTCCAACACGATTTCTAAAAAATTTTTTAACATCAGACAACCACCTAGACAGCGAATTTATTTCCTCAGGAGTCTTAATTTGAAGAAAAACTTTAAAAAATTATTTTTAGGGAATTCGTGAAGTCTTCGAAATGGCCACAAAAGCTGCTCTTCAACAGAAGAAAAAGAAGAAGAAGCCATGCAGTGTACTTTAAAAAATCGACTCTCAATAAAAAAAAATAGTAAAAAAATTTTGACATGTTTTTTTCCTTATTGTGGTGTCGTAATAATTTTTGTTGCCTAAAAATTGCTTTGGTAACATTTTATATATGTTTTTTATATGAAAATGCACCGTTTTTCTGCTTATATTTAAAATTGACTTTCGCCTCCTTTTCTACTCAATTATTGCTCTATATATAAAAATAAGCTCTTTATCCACACTTAATTTTTTGATCTTTCTTTTATTTTTTAATTGAAAAAAAAATAGTAGAAATTGGCAAAAATAAAATTTTTTAAAGGTTCTTTACATTAAAAAAAACTAGTGTGTAAAAGGTTCCCAGCCTCAATCTCTATATTGACTTTAAGAAAAACGTTTAACCAGATTATGAGTCTGTAGTTCAATAAAAAGCGTAGTCCATGTTTATTTCAAGAGAGTGAAGAACTGCGAGAACCTCTTACATGTTTGATAACCCATTCCTAATTTTTTGGCTTCTTCTGGCCCAATTACAATAACCTAGCTATGGCAAATGCCAAAAAAGGTAGAAAAAACCAGAATAGTATTTACAAAACACCCAAACGTTAAATTTAAACCCATTCCAATCCTAAAGCGGAAGAATAACTTTTACAACATTAAATATTTTTTCCGGGGAATTTGTGAAGTCTTAGAAATTGTCACAAAAGTTGCTCTTTAACCAAAGCTCTTACAAAAGCTGTGTATTGAAGATTGGGCCCTATACGCAGATCGTGCCGGCTTGATATTTTTTCCTTACTTTTTTTACTGGGTATTTTTCCCAAGTTTTTATGTTTGTGATGGTTGTCATAAGGAAAATCTTTTAATTCTTTCGTGTTCGCCCGTATTTTGCCTGTCCGTCTTCGCCCGTGTTTTGTCTGTCCGTCTTCGTCCGTGCGGGCATCCAGAATTAACAGAAATATAGGGAATGATAGCAAGAAGAAATAAGTCACCAGTTTTCCTTACGGCAAAATCACAAACATCAAAAATGTAGAGGAACATGACCATTCTGAACTTTTTAAAAAAGTAAGGAAAAAATATCAAGCCGGCACGATCTGCGTATAGGGTCGAAGATTGCTTAGGTTTCGAATTGAAAAAGTCCGGGTTTCAGATAACCTAGCCCATCCCTGACTTACTTAGTTCTAGATTCACATGATTTTTACGTTTCATTATAACAAAAAATAAAAAAAATTTTATTTGGTAGTATATTTTTAAAAAAATTATTTTGTGTGCACATAATGCATATTTTTTGGATCATTTAAGAGTAAAAGATTAAAAAAAAGAAGATTCTCTAAAAAATGGACGGGCAAGAAAGTTAAAAGAAACGGCACAGGAAGAAACAAAAGCAACAAAGAAAAAATTTTTTTGAATCAAAAAAAAACAATTAAATATTGAGCACTCCTCTATATGGACCGTGCATTTTTAAATATTGAATTACAAGTGAAGGGCCTCCTTCAGTAATATCTTATTTTAAGAAAAGATTAATTTTTAAAAAAAATTCCTTTTAAAAATTTACCAGCAGGAATATGTGTAAGTGGACAACGTTCAATTGACATTATTTCTAGTGAGGAACATAGCACCAATTCAAAAGGCAAACTTAAAAAAATATAATTAAGATTGCTTAACTAACAATGAATTGGACCTAGAAATAGAACTCTCTTGGGGCTTAAAGAATTGTTTCGCTAATAATAGGTTGGACCTCGATATTAGACCTCTCCTGGGACTTAAAAGTCTCTCATAATGAGGGGTTCCTTAAATAGAGGTGGATGTCCATCAAAAACGAGTTATAATAAAAAATCCCTTGACATCCAACTGACAAGGGAACATCGTCTACTATCAGTGTGAATTTGATATATTTTTTGGTAACATTCGATAGAGGACACTCGACTTCCTATTGTGAAGTGATGACCATTTTTTGCAAAATGACTTTGGGCCGAGTTATGGCCAATCAAAGTTTAAATGTGTGAGGCATCTTATATTGAGAGTGTCTTAAATAGGGGGTATCGTTTAGGAAGTGTTGGATCCGTATTTTGATATTTCTTTTAATTTTAAATAAATGTTGTTTTCCTATTTCCCTAAAACCATAATTCAAATATTCCTTATCAATTTAGTTTAAACCGTCCTTTTCTTGATTGTAAACTCTTTAAATATTTCTTTATGTAATTTAAAATATTCCCCTCAAACATCTGCTTCCTTTTTATCTAAACATTTCCTTTTCAAAATATTCCCCAAAAACATTCCTTATCTAACCATTCCAACTTCAAACAAACTTTTACAACTGTCTGTCCATTTCTATACTCAACTCCCGCCTTTTCTAACTCATATAAATATTAATTTGTTTCACATTAAATTTACGTTATTCCGAACTAAACTATATTAATTTGAAGTAAATTTGTTATTGAAAGTTTGTGTTTAATTAATTTGAATTGAATTAGTTTTAATAAGAAAGTTTAGAACCTCAAACAAGAGTTTGAGAGACAAATATAAATAGATTAAATAAGTAAGAACCGGGACATAATATTGGTGCCACGAACCCGTTGCGATTAACGGAGATCTAAAAAAAATTAAAATAAATTAAAAGAAGGATATTTCTGTGTGAAATATCTTAGCTGTGTGCTTTAAAGAAAAATAATTTTTAGGATTTCTGTGTGAAATCCTGCTGTGTGCATTTTTGGGTTTTCTGTGTGAAAACTCGCTGTGTGCTTTTTGAGATCTCTGTGTGAGACTCGCTGTGTGCATTGAATTTCTGTGTGAAATTCAGAATTTAATTTCGTCTATAAGACGGCTGTGTGCATTTAAAAGAGGCTGTGTGCCAAATCCAAATCTGCTGTGTGCAAGAAATTTTAGATTTAGATTAAAATACTAATAATAATGTCTGGTTCAGACTTTGTCCCTCATCTTTTTTCACCTGAGGAGAATAAAACTTTTGAAACTTTACTTACTCAATTACGCTCCTTCGAAAAAACGGTGGCGAAAAGCTTTCGTCAAGTGGAAGGAAGACTCGATCTAATTGAAGAAAATATGAAGAAAAATAAAGACAGTTTGACAGGAACAAAAAGTTCTGTCACTAAATTAAGAAATAATTTAAATGAATTTAAATTAAAGTTTGAAGAAAAAATGGGAAAATTGCCACAAAATAAAGTATTGGAAGATTTTAATGAATTAGAAGACGAATCCATTAATGAGTCGGATAGCTCAATTAATGAGACTGATGAAACTATACGAGGCAATGAATTGGAAAATGAGGAGGATAATCAAGAAATTTCTGTTATGGACCCATTCTTAGGTAATGGAGCATTTGTTGGAAATTTTGACGGAAATCCCACCGTATCTTTTACAAAATGGGTGGAGAAATTTAAGGATATACTTTCGTTAATGACCGAGCCTACCGAAGTGCAAAAATTGGCCCGTTTGCGTTTTTGTCTGTCCGGTCAAGCGAGAGTAGCATTCGACAATATAAATCCCGCACCTACGACTTTAGCGGAGGCTTTAGCATATTTAAAGGGAAAATATGAAAATGGTAATACTAAAGTAATTGCGCGGCAATTATTATCTAATTGCAGGCACGCGCCGGGTGAATCAGTTTTCGAATTTGCGAACAGACTCTCGGATACAGTTCGCACGGCCCTATCAGGAGAAACTGAGGATACGATAAAAAGACGCCTCCTAGATGAATTTTTGGATCGACTCGTTCCTGAGCTACAATTCGAAGTGAAGGCTCAGAGGCCTGCAGATTATGCTAATGCGTACGAAATAGCGCAGCATTACGAACTACTCCTCTCTGCGAGGAAGGGAAATAATGTTTTGATTGGCAGTATATCGGAAAAAGTTGAGGCTTTGACGTTACAGGGTAACAAAAGCGAAAGAAAAGAAAATAAAAGGTGTTATTACTGCGGGAAACCAGGCCATTTTGCTAGATTTTGTTATTCGCGTAAATCCGAGTTAAATTCTAGAAGTTTCCAGCCTCAAAATTATGGGAGAAGCGAAAATCGTTATCGTAATAATAATCAATATCATAGACCGGATTATCGAAATTATCATGAAAATCGGCAAAATAGAAGGGAAAATTATGAAAGAGAAAATCGCGGTTACAATAGGAACAGAAATTATGACGATTACAGTAGTTCAAGAAGTAGGGAGAGAGAAAACAATACTAGATATTATAATTACAACGATTTATCGCCAAATCGCAGAGTGCGTTTTGAGAGAACTCCGAGCCCCAGAATAAGAGTTGTAAGCCCATTTATGCTAGATAAAGAAAATGAAAGTACGTTAAATAAAAATATAATCCCTTTTTCAAAAAGATGGCCCTCCGTGAATAAAGTTGAAAGAGGAGAAATAAAATTTAAAAACGGAGAGAGTAAATAAATACAAATAATTCTATTCTGTAGCTATATATATATAATCCTTTTCCATTATCATGTTATCAAATATATATCCATTTTTACATTTTTAATAATCTGTTTGTATCCTTTAAACGCCCATTATCATTATCCAATGTTTATTTTATTTCTGGATTGTAAAAAAATATTTTCTCATCAATAAATTTTTGAAAAACACGATATCAATATGGAGAGCAACAACTTACAAAAGAAGAGCAACAACAAACTTCAAAAGAAGAACGGCAACAAACTAAAAAAAAGAGCCCCTAATGGAAGGGAGAATATGAAAAAAAATTAATTTAGTAAATGAAATAAAATTCAGCTTTTCAAACGGTAAAAAACACCTCTATTTTATGTTGAGAGAAAATAAAAGAAAATTGTTTGAGATAAACTACAAGAACTACCCTCCACTCCCAACTACAAATCTTGAAGAAATTCGAAAATAAATTAAAAAATTAAAGTACCAATGGAAAAAAAATAATTCTTTAATGTAAAAAAAAATATTGAAAAAGCGGAGATACAAAAAAAAATTTTTTTTTAATTTCGCCAAAAATTTGAGAAGCGGAGAAGTTGGTTGAGAGCAAAAATAACAACCGTGAGGAGATAATAATCAAGGGAGGGGAGGCCGCGGGCATGTACAACCTAGACTTCTGCAAGATTCCCGCTTAATTTTCCTTTTACGTCAATTGATGTGAGAGAGGCCATGAATTGGCTCGTTACCGTTTCCATAATTATTACCCACGTGGTCGTGGAGAATACAAAAATAACAACGACCATCCAACAACAATAACTTTCGCGATGCAATAAACTTAATAATGCCGTTGATCTTCTTAAAGGATGGAGGAGTGTTGGATCCGTATTTTGATATTTCTTTTAATTTTAAATAAATGTTGTTTTCCTATTTCCCTAAAACCATAATTCAAATATTCCTTATCAATTTAGTTTAAACCGTCCTTTTCTTGATTGTAAACTCTTTAAATATTTCTTTATGTAATTTAAAATATTCCCCTCAAACATCTGCTTCCTTTTTATCTAAACATTTCCTTTTCAAAATATTCCCCAAAAACATTCCTTATCTAACCATTCCAACTTCAAACAAACTTTTACAACTGTCTGTCCATTTCTATACTCAACTCCCGCCTTTTCTAACTCATATAAATATTAATTTGTTTCACATTAAATTTACGTTATTCCGAACTAAACTATATTAATTTGAAGTAAATTTGTTATTGAAAGTTTGTGTTTAATTAATTTGAATTGAATTAGTTTTAATAAGAAAGTTTAGAACCTCAAACAAGAGTTTGAGAGACAAATATAAATAGATTAAATAAGTAAGAACCGGGACATAATAGGAAGCTTCTCCCCCAATCACCAACCAAATTTAAAAAATCGTCTCTTAAATAGAAGTGTATTCAATAGCGAAAGAGTATCTCTTAAAGTGTGGTCCGACCATATAAAAATTATTTTTCTTTTACCTATTCAAGTTTGGATTATCATTTAAATATAGACTTTTTAGATTCTCTAAATGACCTGCAAAAAAATTCAAATTTAAAAAATTGAATAATTATATAACCAATTTCTTCTGGAATGAAAGTTATGAGATTTTCTCCAACTCTTAGATCAACCAAATTAGATAAATTTCCTATTGTTCTAGGCAAAGAAGTGAGTTGATTTGACTTGAAAAAAATTTTTTTTAATTGTTAAAAGAAAATAAATGGTTAGTCTTATTATAAGAGATACCCCCTTGGGTCTGGAAAAATCGTCTCTTATAATGAGATGTTTATTAGATAGAGATTAGCGCTTAATAGTATCTTATAATGAGGTGTATCACTTAATAGACTCTTATAAAGAGATGTATCCTAAATAGAAGGTATCGCTTTATAGTCCCCTATAATGGAGTGTAGCTTAAATAGAGGATATCGCTTAATGGTACATTACAATGAGGGCATCAATTAAATAGAGGGTATCGCTTTTCCCTTATGATGAGGTATACCTTAAATAGAATGTACCGCTTAGGTATCTTCCTTCACCCAGTAGCTAAACAAGTCTAATCTTGGGGGTCTCTTATAGTGAGGTCTGCCGAATTTTTTAGTTACTTGAATCCAAAGTTTAGTTAATGCCGTCAAAAACCCAATATCAGAAGGAATTCCATCCAATTCATTTTCTTCCAAATCAAGCTCTCTTAATTTTCTTAAAGAACCAATTTGTGATGGAAGCTTTTTTAAACGGTTTGTAGAAAGTACCAACACTTCAAGATTTATTAATTTGTCAATATCTAAAATTTTTAAAAAATTAAAGAGGGTTTTCTTCATTCTATACGAACCCATGACCAGCAGAGAAATTTTACGTAACCCAAGGAAAGTTCTAATAATAAATTCTATAGGACGTATAAACAAGAGTGCATCCAGAAAATTTTTATCACTCATTTCGAGGGGGCATGCCCCCTACTCCTTAGATACAAGGGGATAGGTAGCTTCGGATTGAAATTTCGGCTCGAAAAAAATCCAGAGGGTCGGTTATTGAGTAATCCGGCCTATATGTGATCCAAAGGATTTCCATTTTTCCCAGTTCGAGAAGGAGGAAAGCAGGTCCCCCTCCTTTTAATTGTCCTTATCTTCTATAAAAATTTAAAAATCCTCTCAAAAAAACCTGGTGGAAGTTCTTGAATATCATTATTTGACATATTTAATTCTGTCAAAGTAATCCAAGTACCAAAATCAAGTGGAAACGAAGAAAGTTCATTTTCTTTGAAATTAAGCTTTGAAAGTTGTCCAGCTTTGGCAAAAATACCAAAAGGTATTTTGTTTATATTATTGTGTTCTACATTGACTGACTGAAAAAAAAAATAAATTTAAAAATATTTAATAAAATTTTTCCATCATTGAGACATGAGGGGTACCAAATAATTGGATTCTGGTAGAGGAAGTCAAATTAATAAATTTAAATTGAAAATTATACAACGATTATTTTTCCCTTTGTAGCGCAAAAAACTTTTCAAAAAATTATTCTACCCCTTCTTTGGGGAGGGGTAGTGGGTCTTCTATAGCACCCGCTTGGAAAAAACAAAAGAAGGACCTTAATGCTACGCTTACATAAAAATCGCGCGCGACACGCGACAGTCGCTAGGCGACATGTCGCCGGCGACAGTCGCTAGTTGTGTGCTTACATAAAATCGGCGACTTACGCAAAAGCGACTGTCGCAAAGCGACAAAACGCAATTTTTATGTAAGCACAAAGCAGCGACGTCGCTAGGCGACATGTCGCCTAGCGACGTCGCAAATCGCGCGCGATTTTTATGTAAGCACAAAATTATTAGTTTTTCTATCTTTTTCTTCTATATTTTCTTTATTTATTTATCTCTATTTTTCACGTTGGTGGAAGTCAGAGTACTGTAATGTATAGGACAATTCGTTGCCACTATTTTATTGTGGCTTTTATATTGTGGGTTTTTTTAATTTTTCCATTGATATTAGAGTTAGGAACGGGTCCGGGACCCGGTCCCGGCTTTTTTTCACCGGGAAACCAGGAAAAATATTTAGTGTATTTGCGTACTTTGATATTAAATTTTTGAAGAAAAAGGAAAGGAATACAAAAATATCGAAAAAAAAGAAATGATTTTCCATCTAAAACTTTGTAGATTAATGCCAAAAAATTAGACTTCAAAGGACCTTCATCTTCACGAGTTTTTGTTGGAAGAATAAAAGCCTAGGCTAAATTGTAGCAAATTTTATGGGCTTTTTAATGGGCCCAAAAGAAAATTTTTTTAAAAGCTCTAGGTCGTAAAAATATTTTTTGAAGCCTCGATTTTCCCCGAAATTTTTTGTCCCTAACTATATGTGACGAGCCCTACTCATCAAGAAATGGTCACTTTTTCATGTTTTTGGTATCATTTGTTAGAGAATTAAAAGCTCTACAACATATAAAAAAATCAGAATTTTTGACCGATTGATAAAAAAGTTATGATATAAATACTTTTTTATCTCGAAAATCTCAAAAATATCGAAAAAAAAGAATATTTTTTGCAAAAAGTATACCTTTTTCAAAATCAATTTTAACCCATAAGATTTAACTTTAAAAATATAAAATTTATATTGATCGATAGAGAATAAACTGAACTTTCAGAATCTTTTTAAAGTTTGAAAATCGGATCAGAAATGATCGAGAAATAGCATGTCGCAAAAAAGTGTCGCCAAAAATTCAAACATGTTTGAATCAAAAAAAGTGTCGCCGGCGGAAATCGCATTTTATGTAAGCACACGAAAAAGCGACAAAATCGCGCGCGACATGTCGCCGGCGGAAGTCGCGGTTTATGTAAGCACTCAAAAAAGCGACAAAGTCGCGCGCGACAAGTCGCCGGCGGAAGTCGCTTTTTATGTAAGCACGCAAAAAAAGCGACAAAATCGCCGGCGACTTTTCTCTCCTCTTTTTCCATTATCTTTTCTGTCGCGTGTCGCGCGCGATTTTTATGTAAGCGTAGCATAAAAGAGACATTTTCCATCTATTTTTAAAAAAATTTTTTAATGAGAAATTTAAAAAAGGTCCCAAATTTAAAGAGAATATAGGACATCCAATCAATTTATTGGTTAAATTATTTTGATTATAGACCACAAATAAAAAAAATATTTTTAAAAATTTTCCTTACCACAGCCATTTCATACCCTCCTTGTGGCAAAGCATTTAATTGATTTCTACTCAAATTAATATTTTTTAAATTTGGAAATGAAGCGAGAATTCCATCCTTAAAATTCAAAAAATTTTAAAAAAATCAAAAAAATTTTCTTCTTACAGGCAAAGCTTGAAGTTTATTACTTTCAACAACAAATTCATCAATTAAAGTACATTGTGATAATAAATTAGGCAATTCAGTTAAATGATTGTAACGAATACCAAGTCGTTTAAGAGAATTTAATAAACCTTTAAAAAAAGAAATAAAAATATAATTTTTACTGAAAAATTTGGCTCTTTTCCAGTTTGTGAGTCCCACAGTAAAATTCAAGGAAAAGATTGATAAATGCTCCATTATAAACTCGCTAAAATCCAGTCATTGGATACCAGATGTCATGAGTCGAGAGAAAAAGTCGAGCCAGTTATTAAGCTCTTAAAAGGGAAGAAATCGGGTCGAGTTCAGGCTTCGAGTAACCCGTGGCAACCCTGTTAATCCGTGACGCCCTTGGGATGGTTCTAGGCCCACTGTCGTAATCCCGAATACAAAAAACATTAATGAATAGAAATTCAACTTTGAAACTCAAAGAAAAACCAACAAACAAATTTAGAGACGCTTAAACTGGACAAGAGAGAATTTAAAAAATTATTTTAAAAAAGAAACCAATATTTTCTGGCAATTTAACAAGTTCATTGTGTTGTAAATCAAGTTGTGTTAATTGTGAACATTGCCCAATTTCTTTAAATAAAAATTTTCAAAATTTTTAAAATTTAAAGAAAACCTTCAGGTATAGCTTTTAAATGATTCGAAGAAAGCAATAAAATAGAAAGGCATTTCATTTCAGACATTACAGTTGGCAATTCTGTTATTTTATTTTCACGCAAGTCAAGCATTTTTAGACGTTTTAGGCACCTGAAAAAAATTTTTTTTTATTTTTTGACTAAAAAGAAAAGGTAATTGTGGGTTAACTCAAGGGTTGGAGGTCCGGCCCGGCCCAAAAGATCGAATCGGGCATCGAATTTTGGCCCGAAAGACTCGGTCGGGCCGGCCCGATAAAAATAAGGTCCGAAAAAATGACTTGAATGTCGGCCGACTCGAAAACCCAAACCCTGAGTTATATCCCTCTACCATTTAAGCGGACATCTGTGGGCAAATTAATTAGTTTCTAGTAAAGGACTCCTTCAAACAAATACCCTATAAAAGAAAACTAAAAGGGCAGGGAAAGTACAGGTTCTGGGTAGCTCGACCCTTCCATGGATTACAAGGAAACCTTCCGAACTGTGACCATAAATTTTTTAATAAAAATTATACCATCGTGTAGAGCATGGTCGATAACCTATTGCCAATTTTTAGGTTTTTTGGCTCCGACCCCCAAATCGAAAAGTTATAGGTGCTTAAAGTTTCAGCCTTTTGGAGCTGTTGGGTTTATTTAAAATTTTTTGGTCAGTTTGGAAGATTCCCCTGTTAAATGGTTAAAAAATTGACAGAATGGTTTTTTAAGTTTGTCTAAATAAAATTAATTTTCGAATAACCCACAAAAATAATTTAAAAAAAAATTTACTTAATATTTGGTGAAATTGTTCTAATTTTATTATAACGAAGCCAAAGCCTGAAAAAAATTTTTTTTAATTTTATAAAATTTTTTAAATTTACGTTTCCAATGATTCCATTTGAAAAACAACAGAAGGAATTTCCTTTAAAAAAATTTTTTAATCAATTTTATTTGAAAAAATTATTTAAAACCTCATTAATTTTATTATGCCGTAAATCTAAAGTTTCCAATTTCTTTAAGGAAGAAAGAGTATCTGGAAGTGTAGACAAGGAGTTCTTTAAAAAATTAAAAGTAATTATAAGAAAATTGTTTTTTGAAAAGTTAACAAGTCGGACCTCCTTATAAGATTCACCCCAATACTAAACCTCTCTATTTAAGAGACCCACACAGCTCTATCAGAGGTGGGACGGAATTCCTATTTCCGGCGTTTTTTCCTTCCTATTTCCAAAAAAAATTTTGATTCCCGATTTCCGACTTTTGAGCCATTTCCGATTTCCGGCTCTGCCGATTCCCGACACCTCTGACTGTTCCGACCCACCTACACGACTCTATATGAGACATTTTCTAAAAGTTGACTAGCTACTGGGTGGGTAAGGTTATGAAAACGATACTCCCTATTTAACGGACAACTCATTATAATATAAAATGTTTCAGCCAAAGGGTGTATCCCATAATGAGGTCCGACCTTGAGTAATAATAATTCTAAAAATTTAAAAAATAACCTCGCTAAGACCCAAAATACGCAAATTAATTAATTGGCCAACAGCTGGAGGTAAACTAGATAATTTGTTCTAAAAAAAGAAAAGAAATTTTCAAATAAAAAAATATAAAAACCTTATAAAGAAATAATTCTGTAAGTTGTGTTAATGATTGTATTGAATTGGGAATACTTGTAAGCTGAAAAATAAAAGTAAAAATAAGGAAGATGGGAGATTCAGCTAACATTTAAAACGTTTACTAGGCAGGTTTAAGATCTATTAAAAAAGAGACTAGGTGAAAGCAACGTCCCGGTAGCTGACAAATGAGTCGGTAAAGCAAAGGATGGGTCTGGTTGGAAAAATGTCAAACATGGCTTCAGGCTAACAATAAGAAAAAAGTCAGGGGTTTCAGATTTCAGGTATCCTGACCCATCTTCAACTACCAGGAAGACGCAGGTTATCTGAAGTTCGCAGATTCGATGCCTACCCGGAGCTACTCTATTACTTAAAAACAGACTAGGACATGGATACAGATATTGTAAAAATGCCTGCGGACATACGTCTGTATCCGTCGTAAATATCCGGATACGGATACCAAAATCAGTATCCGTGCCCTAGTTTGCTTAAAAATTAATTAAATTTTTCTCTGGATACCCCCTCTAATCAATAAATAAATTTTACCTCCGATGAATTCAAATCCAGCCTCGTTTCTCCACTTTCCCGGCATCTGGTCAATTCCCGATTAATGTCCTAAAAATTTAATTTAAATTATAAAATTTTCTATTCCTAAAAAACCTTTCGAACTTTGTCGTCAGAGTTGACAGAATTTGTTTGTTTTTCGCTAAGACTGTTTCTGTATTTACCTCGAGCAAAATTGGAGATTTTGTTTATTATATGTCCACCAGGGGATTTACTACGAGCTGATTGACTTCCATTGTTTAAATTACAATCTCCAATAGAATTTGCCTGTGAAAAAATTTTTTTGAAAATTTTAAAATTTTTGAAATTTTTGAAAATTTTTGGAAATTTCAAAAATTTTTCGAAATTTCTTGAAAATTTTTAGAATTAAAAAAATACCCCGTTGTTAGGCCTAAATTCTAATTCAACAGCTGTATTTCCACCATTACTCGCATTATTTTCAATTGTTGTTGCCTTGGCCTGTTGGCCTTGGACTTGCTTATCAGCCATGGAATGGGCCGAGCCCAGCCGAATTTTATCGTCTAATTTTCTTCCAACAATAAGGGCTTTCTGAAAATATAATTTTTAATAAATTCTATAAATAGGAAGAGTTTTGAGTCCAACCCTCACTTCCCCAAAAGCCCCATCGATAACACCCCAAAAATAAGGACAAACGAGGAAAATCGGCAAATTGTCCGACGGTGAAATGTGTGTCGGTGAAAATTTAATTTTTCAGAAAATTTTCAAAAAAAAATTTTTTCGAAAATTTTTTTTTCAGAAAATAAGGTCAAAGAATCGATTCCAGATTTAATTGAATTATTTGGAGGATTAAAGTATTTTGTGTAAATGATCTATTTATTTTACTCTAAAATTGATCTAAACTTTTTCTTCTTCCTTCCTTCCTTTACCCCCCCCCCCTCCAAAAATTTTTCTTTTTTATTTTAAACTCGCCTGGAAACAAAGAGCAAATTTATCGGCAGGTAAAAAGTGCTCTTTACGATGCTCTCTAGGTTGTTGATCAAATGAAACAACTGAACTATTAGTGCTTGTGCTAACAACAGAAGAAGAGGGGGAATAATTCCTTTCTTTACTGTGATGTCTAAGCCGGTTAGTTAATTGTTGTTGTTGTGGTGATTGTTGTTGTTGGTAATGAGAAGAATTTTTATGAAAGTTATGCTGTGATGACCGATGCGAATGCTTTCTTGTTAGGCCAAGTGCACTATCTAAATAAAAATTATTTTTTTAATACTTGGGGGACACTTGGGTATAAATTGGGGTGTGACCTTTTGGGAAGGTGACCTTTTGAGGCGGTGATCTTTTGGGGGAGTGACATTTTGGGGCGGTGACCTTTCGGGACGGTGACCAATTTTACAGGGAATGGGGGGTGTGGGAAATTCGGGTTCAGGGGTGGGAGCCCCGGTGAGCTTCCTCGGACGGTGGTCTAACCCTAGTATAGATACTACTATGAAACAGGGGTGGGCGCAAGAGGCAATCGTGAAAAACGCAAAACGCAAAACGCAACGCAAGGCCAAAAATCAACGCAAAACGCAAAAAACGCAAAACGCAAAACGCAAGAACGCAAAATTCTGAAAAAAAATTTAAATCGAGTATTAGCCATTTTTCAGTTAAAATAGAAGTATTACTATAAGTCAGTGAGTCCTAGTTGATCTTGTGATACAATTAAGTTGGATGGGTAATGATTTGAAGGGGATACAATGGGATTATGAAGGATATTAGAGGATTTAGAGCGATTATGAAGGAGGGATCGAGGAAAATTGGAGGGATCAAGGAAATTTAAAAAGATACCATGCGATTACTGATGAATGTCGGATGGGTTGGGGAGTAGCGGAGGATAAATGCCTATCTGTAATTCTCAATTGATACCGTGGATATCAGGGGATTTGGAGGGATAAAGGGAGATCGGAGCTCAAGATATTGAACTGATATTTTTCTGAGCAGTTCCATGATCTACTTTTAGCGCCGCAGGCGAAAATTTTGAAAAATTTGGGACCAAGAAGCCAAATTTCTTCCTTTTTTAAGCGCCGCAGGCGAAAATTTTGAGAATTTTGGAAAGTCATAAGCCTGATTTCCTCAAGATTTTGCCCTCAGATTGGGTATATTTCTTGCGGTTTTTTGCGTTAATTTTGGCCAAATTTACGCAAAACGCAAAACGCAACGCAAGGCCAAAAATCAACGCAAAACGCAAAAAACGCAAAACGCAATGCGCCCACCCCTGCTATAAAAATTATAGTACAGTCAACCTCACTATAAGAGACCCCCAATATTAAATACACCTCTATTTAAGAGACGTTTTTAAATTTAGTTGGGTACTGGGTAAGAGGGCTGCCCAAGCGATACCCTCTATTTAAGATGTATTGTCATTATAAGAGACTTTTAAACTCCTAGTGTATCTTATAGAAAGTTTTTGGACTGAAATCGTACCTTATAACGAGGTTTTCAAAATTTACTTGCCCATTGAGTGGGAGGAGCTGCCCAAGGATACCCTCTATTTAAGGTACACCTCATTATAAGAGACTATTTTTTCACACTTGGTGTGTACCTTATAAGGGAAGTCGAGGGCTGTTCAAGCAATACCCTCTATTTAACATACACCTCATTATAAGAGACTATTTTTTAAACCAAGGGTGTACCCTATAAGGGAGGTCAGACTGTACCATTAATCTACTAGATACCGTTCATTCCCCACCTCGGCTATTTGTGGACGTCTTGTAGTTTTGTTGCTGTGGACTTTTAGATGACAGCTTTTTGCTGCTGTTGCTCCTGTTAAGCTGTTTTTGACGTTGGGAAATGACGTCCAGTTTGACTGTCTATCAAAACAAATGAAAGCAGTTTTTGTTAAAATTAAATTTATTTTTAATTGTTAAAATTAACTAAAAAAAGGAAATTTTTAAGTAAAGAAAAAAATTTAAAAAAAAACGAAGCGCGCCGTAATACCCACACGCCGAAATACCCAACCCCCCAAAAGCTGACGAAATACCAAACCTGACTAATTAGAATAACATCTCCATCAACGGAGGGATATTTTTCTAATTAATTTGAAAGTTTGTTCCAATATGGAATTTATTTGGTATTGCTATGAGGGATGCTCGAAAAAAAAATTTTTTTTAAGAATCGAAATGAAACGAAATTTCGAAAAAAAATGAGACAAAATTTTCCCTGATACAGTTTGGTATTTTGGCGTTTTGGTATTATAGGATAGTACCAAAAATAAAAGAAAAAAAAATAAATAAAAAAGATGAAGTAAATAGAATTATTCATCAAATAAGCACTTTACTAGACGGGATTTAGTACGAAAGATGAGAAAACTCTCACGCTTTTTAATCCAAAATATTAAAAAAGGATTTAAATTGTACTTAATTAATCTGCGTAAAACCGATTTTTTAAATAGTCAGATATCATTATAAGAGACTCACTCGAGGCTGAAACATTGTCTCCTATAATGAGGTGTATCTTAAATAGAGTGTATCGCTTAGATAGCTTCCCCCACTCAGTAGCCCAACAAAATAAAAAAAAGTCTCTTAAATAGAGGTTAAATGAATTAATTTAAGAGACTTTTTTAAATTAATTAATACACCTCTATTTAAGAGACTTTTTATTTTTTAGGCTATTTAGTGGGGGGAAGCTACCTAAGCAACAATCCTAAGCCTCGATTTTTTAATCCCAATCCTTAAGCCTCGATTTCAGGTCCAAAACCTCTAATATTGCATAATCTTATAATGACGTCTCTCTTAAATAGAGGAAGGAATGTATCTTAAATAAAGGGTCAAATTTTTTTTTTTTTAATAAATTTGTGAATTTTATTGAAAATGTGAAAAGAATTTATATTTAATGCGCAAGGTTTTAAAAGTTTGTCAAGTGTTTTGTGTGTATAATCCTATTAAGAAAAATCAATTTTGAAATGTATTTAAAATTTTTCGCGATAAAATAAAATGAACTTTAAATAAAATGGGGGGAAAAAAGAGAATAAGTTCTCTATACGCATTAAAGTTCGGAGGACTAAAAGGGAATCTTGTCCAAAATCTCAATTATTTTTCAAAATATTAAATTCAAGACTCTCCTGAAGCCCTGCCTCTCTGACAGAGCTGTTTCAAACAAAAAATCTTCAATCAAGAAATCGAAAATTTTTAAAAATATCGAAATATAAAGAAGAATAATCTAGAAACTCGAAATTTCGAAACTCCTAAAGAGACCCATCGCAAAATAAACGCCCAGTCTCCAATAGAAGCACATTCATGTGACTTATTAAAAAATAGAAGCCCAGTTTTAATTGGCGTTTTTTCGGGTTATTAAAAAATTAGATTAATAACCTACGTTTGGACAATTTAAAATTTTTTATTTAAATAATATATTCAATTTATTTTTTTATATTTAATTTTATATTAAATATTAAATTTTTTCTAGAGGAGTATTAAATACATTAAATGAAAAAAAAATTGGATTTACATTTTTACACACACGCATATTTAGAATTAATAATTAATTTTTATTTTTAGCAAACATATAGAAAAAAAAATATTAAATATTTATTTGCAAAAAATTCTTTTTAAATATTTAATTAAACACTTAACATTAATTATCATTTAATCGTGTAGGGACAATACACCGTCCGAACAACACACCGACGGTGTTTTGCCCCTCACTCAGATCAGATTTAAAATAAAAATTAAAAAAAATATTTTTCAAGAAAAAATTTGTTTTTAAAAACAAAATTTTTTTGTTTTTATTTTTAAATAAAATTTTCTTCAAAAAAATAAAGTTTAAAATAAAAGAATTTTTTAAAAATAAAAATTTAACTTAAAAATAAGAAGAAAAAATAAAAATAAGGAACGCGCAAAATAACTGACTCATTTTTTCTCCATTTTTCTACCCCAAAAACTTTATTCATAATTCGTCATTTTTATACTTTAAGTGGGAAATCGGGGGGAAATTTTTTTTATTTTTGTTTTTAAGGGAAAATAGGAAGGCATAAACATGCGCTTTTATTGTTAAAAATCGAGAGAGAGAAAAAGCGTGTGCTAGTTTGTGCATTGCGGAAGGAAAAAAAACGTTTATTATTTGGAAAATATATTTTAGTAGAAGCAGCTGCTTCTACTAAAAAATTATTTTTTTTTTAAAAAAAACTATTTGATAGCAAACGTCAAGGGAGTGGATCGTTAGGGCGCGGGGATGTTAGGGCGTGAGGTAGTTAGGGCGCAAGCTTATAAAATGAAGAAATTATCAGCTAAAAATGCAAAATTTTGCAAAAACTGCCCTCACATGTTTATCTAAGCTCTCCAAAAATTTCAGAATTTTTGGACCAGAATTTCAGAAATTATGGCCAAAAAGGTGTTGCTTCTCTAAGAAATGACCTGTTTTCAAGGTTTATCGACTATAACTTGAAAAATATTTGATCAAAAATTCTGAAATTTTTGGAAAAGATAGCCAAAAATGTTAAAAAAATTTGAGAAAATTTTCAAAAATTTTAGGTATCGGCAAATGCCAGTTTTATAGGCGCGCGCCTTTACGCCCTGGCGCCCAAACAACCCCACCCAACGAGAATAGAAAGGAAAAAAGTACTTCCAACAAAACATTGCTTTGTCGCATTCCTTTCTCATTTATCGGTTTTTCTCTATTTGTCATTAAATTTCTTTATTGCATCTATTAAAAAGCCAAATAATTTTTGTTTGGGGCTGTCATTTGTTGATAATTGATAGTGAAAAGTAAAAACAAAGGCCGCAATCGGCGATGACTTTGGCGACTAACTTTTTTTGAAGGGAATGGAGAAGAGAAAGAGTAGTTAACGGGTTAATTTGGAAGAAAAAAGACTAATTGATTTTGTGAAAAATTTTAAAGAAAAGTTTTAAAAGTATAGAAAATTTTTAGAAAATTAATTTAGAGTAAAATTGAGAAGGGAGAAGAAAGGGGAAGAACAAATTGATTATAAAAATGCAACTTTGATAATTAAAGTGGGAAAAAGATGGTTGATCTATTAGATAAAATATATATGAGCTGTATAAAGGATCCTTCTGACTTACTGAATTTCCCAATCTCCAGAAATAATGAATGGAAATTGTCGCGAATTCAAGCTTGTAAGACACTCTCTTATGTGTGTATTAAAGATCGAGCTGGGGCTGGATCAAGGACTGGGTTCTTCCTGTACCCAGAGTCCAGGCCCAGGCATTTTCTGACTTTGCTGGTTTTTCCTGGGCCTGGGTTTTCCCTGGATTACAGGCCCAAGACCAAGCCCAGGTTAATAAATCAAACCAAGAACCAAGGAACAGACGTTGGTATTTTTTCAAAAATCTCGATCTCTAGTGTTTATTATAGACCGGCCAGAAGTGTCGGTAAAATATCGAAATAAAAAAAGCTATCTTTTTCTTAAAAGTTATCTTTTTTCAAGTCGAGCTGCCGAGTGTATTTGGGCTTTTGAAGTCCCAACTTCCCGAGAATCATAATTTCCAGACAGTCTTTAGTTAGTGTGTCTTTATTAGTGTTTCACCAGAACCGAAATTTTGACCGGAACCGGAACTTCCGGTGAAACTCTAGTCTTTATGTCCTAAAATCGAAAATAAAAAATTCTTGTGAATTCTACTCTGGATTTCTTTATCCTTGTGTGTGTGAATGAGCCTTTTAAATAAAAAAATATATAACAATAACTATTTAAAACCCTAAAAATTCCTAAAAATTCTCAGAATTCTCCACAGTCAATCTAAAAAAAAATTTTTTTGAAAAGAATAATAAAAATTGCCTATTCTTTTTATTTAACTATCCAGGCCTATTTAAATTTAATAGAGAATTTCCAGTTATTTTTATTATTTTATAATTAAATTTAAAAAGGCTTTAATTTAACAGAAATTTTTTCTTTTATTATTTTTTGCCGTTTAAAATGCTTGAAAAAAATATAAATAGGGAAAAAGAGTAGCGATTTTGTGTTAATAAAACAGCTAACAAATAAGGAACAAAAGTAACAATAAAAAAAGAAATACTGGAAAAAAGCTTTAATGTAAACTAGAAAAGTGTGAAAAGCACAGCATGGCCAAGAGAAGGGAAAAAATAACGGAAAGAACAGGGGGGTCAGTTGACCGCAAGCACAATTCGACGTGAAGACCTGTCTAGGACCGGTCTACTTGTAGGAATGCCAGAAAAAGTGGATTTGGGTACCTTCCGACGAGGCTCGAGGTTAGGCGTAGAAAGATACCAAAAATGTCCAATCCGACTTTTCTAAGGCTAGTTATAAGCCCTGCGGTAACGGAAAGAACAGGGGGTCAGTTGACCGCAAGCACAATTCGACGTCAAGACATGTCTAAGGTTGGTCTACTTGTAGGAATGCCAGAAAGAGTCGATTTGGGTACCTTCCGACGAGGCTCGAGGAGAGGCGTAGAAAGATACCAAACATGTCTAGCAGAGGTCGATAGGAATTCTGATTTCCGACTTCCGATTTCCGACGTTTTTTTCTTTGCGATTTCAGAAATTTTGTAAAGATTTCCGAGTTCCGACTTTTGAGCCATTTCCGATTTTCGACAGTTTCGATTTCCGGCACCTTCGTCATTTCAGATCGACCTCTGATGTCTAGAGCCGACTTTTCTAAAGCTAGTTATAAGCCCTGTGGTAAACGTGACTGCGGTGGAATGGTGTATCCAGAAAAAACATTGAAAAAATCTAAGAGAAAAAATCCTAGCAAGTGAAAAGCATAAATATGTTGGTCAATAAAAATAAAAATTTTTAAGAGCAAAGCATTCCTTATAGTTTAGGACATGTTTTACGGCATTGCCGCCACCCAAGGGAACACAACGCTTATGCGAACACTAAAAAAAGTGCTTTT